GAATTCTGGGTTAAAAGAACAGAAAGTGCTGTCAAAGAAATTCCTAACAAAGAAAGAAAGAATATAATTGTTGTACAATTGAGTAAGTAAGCTGTTCAAATACAAGTAGAGGCAGAAGATGAGGAGAGCAAGCAAGATTTTGGCTATAAACATACAAATAATACAGAAAGGAATTTCTAGGACATTCTCAGAGAATAGTTATTTCTACTTAAAGGCCAGAAATTAAAGCCAGTATGTGTACACATTTTTGCTACCTCTTTTTGTACTTAGAATATTTAAAACAATATTATTCTAGGTTTTTCAAATATAGTATTTATACATATGCACATGAGTATATTTTAAATTAAAGACATATATACATTTATAAAGCTTTATTCTACAAAGGACTGAAGATCCTTTGTTAGACAAAAAATAACAAAAACTAAAATGCAAGAGAACAAAAATAACATCACACAAAATCAGAAAGAATTTCAACTAAGAAAATCACAAGAGTCAAACTTGTTTAAAAAGATGAAATAATATCATTTAATCAGAAAGGCCTAAGTATTTAATGGGGAAGGGATAGGAACACTATCTTTTGTGTCCTAGTTTTCACAGAAGCTAATTATGGCATGTGGCACATCACTGAAATGAACTAACAGACACTTCTGTAGTAAAAGACTTCACTTAGCACTCTGACAATTCTAAGTGACTGCTAATGTGTATTTCAAACAGCAGGGTGGTAAAGTTTCTAAAGCCTATAACTATGAGATATATAAATTACAAATCACTTGTTCAGTAAACAATAAAGTTTACATAAGAATATTTTACGCTGCTGTGCTGTTTTTAGGTGCCACTAAGTCAACTCCAATTCACAGCAACCTTAAACACTGCAGAATAATACAAAGTTCTCTTTTCAACAAATTCAAAGTAGCACAATATTAGAGTGTTGCATAAAACAACTTAATTTAAAAACTATACTAAAATTTAATATACAAAATATATGTAGTTATTAATACCAACTACATTTTATTCTTAGTATTTTACTGTAGAAAATGTAACTGGCATTTTAATAAAAAATAATTTTAAGTCTTTATGGATACACACATACATGGCCAAGGGCATGAATACAGAGTCCCAAAAGAAAATAATGTTTATCTTAGGATAGCAGGATTAAGGATTAAGGACATTTTATTATCAATAGATAAACTTTTATTTCCATAGGCAGCCATGGTTCATGTTCACCAGAAGCTCTGCAGAGAAAAATGAAAATCTCCTTCTATGTGATTTACAGCCTTGAAAACCCAATGGGGGGTAACCTATGAGTTAGTTCAAACTCTACACCAATGAAAGATATTTATTTTAAATATATACATGTGTATGTATTTTAAAGCTTATTTTCTTAATGAGAAAAGTATGTCCTAAGAAAAGCACTGTATTGGAACAATCATTTGCTACTAGTTACCTATCAAGTTCTCCCAGTGATAATTCTTGTCTCTCCAGTTCTTCAAGTCGAGCCCACAGTTCCTGATCCGCAAAAAAATCCTGGGATTTTACATCATTTGCAAAATCTGCTTCAAAAAGATCTGGTTTTGGTTTGGAGTGAGGTTTATGAGCAATTCGATGTTTTACTATTTAGAAAAAGAAGAAGGAAAAAAAGAGAATTGATGGACAAACCTAGAATTAATGCTAAGACTTTTTTGATGTTTTTATAGTGGAGAGGCAGAGGTCTAATTTTTAAATCAGAGAGGAAAACTCCAAGGGTGACTATCTCTTAGAACTTGACTACGCAAAGTGTGGTCCACAGACCAATAGCATGGCTTGTGCTACCCTGGAACATTTATTTAAGGGTACAGACTCTAAGGTCTCCCCATACCCAATAAATAAAATTCTGGATTTTACCAAGAGCCCTAAAAGAGTCACAAGCACATTAAATACTGTGAAGCATTATCCTAGAGCTTAAAACCTGCACAAGCAGAGAAAGTAACAATGTATCCTGGTTATAAGATAAAATTCAACATCAGTAACACCCATTTTCCACCCTAACCCAAGGGATTTTAGTTCTAAAGTAACAAGCAAAAGCCTTGTCACAGAACACCTTCAACTAAGGCATTGCCAGGCATCGATACCTTGGGAGAAAACTATAAAGAGGCCAATCTCTGGGACATTCTATTACAATTTGCCTATGAATATTTCTACTTTTTAAATTGCTCTGTTTTATTTAGAACTCTCATGAGAGGGTAAGAGAAGGATCAAATCTGAATATAAACCTCTCTGCTTTTCATTTTAAAAACAGATTTTTTTTTTCTTTTTAAAAAAATAAAGCAAACAAAACCTTTCAAGGAAGCAAAAGGAAACTCTAAAATGCTGCCTATTATCAGATATGGTTCAAATAGATCAAATCTATATTTTCAAATTTATTTTCTAAATTAAAATGCTTCATATCTTATTGTTATTGATGAAACAATATTAAACAAGTTATACCTTACAAATCTTTAGCAAACAGAACTCATTCATTGGTTACTACAAAAAAAAAGGTCCCATAACTTGCCTTTTTGTACTTTATTTTTAATATTTTCTCTTTTATTCTACCTTCTATTTCCCTTTCCAGCACTTGTGATATTATGGCCAGAACATGGGTTCTCTAAGTACCACTACTTTGAACTAATAAAGTTCTTTTAAGAGCTAATTACCAAAATATGAACTTCAGAAAATAAAATATAAAAGAATAATTATTTTCTATTAGGAAAGTTTCCACCTCTCGACTCTAACAATTTACAATGGGGGAATGAAGCATTATCTTTACAGAAATAAATGTAAATACATACCACATATTTAGCAAAAGAAATCTATGGATGAATCTAGAAACTTATGTAGTTAGTGATAGCTACCATAGGCACTATAAATGGAATGGTGAAAATATGCTTAGACTACATTCATTCATGCACCTGAACACAGCACCTAAAACTGTTTTAAAGAAGTAAAAACATTATTTTTAAAAAATCAAAGTCAAAGATCAATTAGGAGTAGATCCATGAGTCTGAGAGAGTTGGATCGCTCAAGGGCTTTGAAAAAGGGTGCAACTCCATTTAAAGAGATCATTCCAGTATCAACTTCTCATCAAAAAGTTACTGATCCATTTTTTAATAAGTCCATCCATGGAATAAATGTTTACACTGTAGAAACTGTTTTAAAGCATCACATTCTACAGTATCACATTAATTTAAAAAGCATCACATCATAAATCAGCTGACTATTAATGTCTAAACCAATACACATAAGGTATTGCTTACCTTTAAATTCAGAGTCACTTTTAACTTCTTCTCTTATGTCAACAATATCACCTGTAGCCTAGAGCAAAACAAAGCAAAAACACTACATCAACAATCTTACTCCCCAATATGTCAAGGTTCAATCATACAACTCCAAAATAATGTCTGAAAGCATTTATAACTTTTGTGCCTTGCTTGGCTGTAAAAAACTTTTCAGTATATAAAATGCTTCTCTGAAAAGTTTATCTAGTTCCATTTTCGAAGACTAAAAGCAGATACTCACATCACTCATTTTCTGCAAATCTTCTGTGAATTCAACTCTGGACTCAAAATTTTTCATCACTTTCTTTAAGTCATCTATAGTTTTTCTCACAT